TAGGTCGTTCTACCCACTTTGATTTATGCTGTGTATGGTATATTTCTTTTATCATCTTATCCCTCCCAACCCCACAATAATTACAAATTTTCATATTCTCTTACTTTATTCAACTTTTTTTATCCAAACCAACTTTTAATAATTTTCTCTCTTATTACGTTATCTTACAGTCACTTATATTATTTAACAATTTCTTAAATTACAAATCTACAGTGAGTAACACATAATCGAATGGATACAATAGTAGTTAGAAACATAAATTTAATTTTTCTCATTTCTAATTAAGTGGGTAAATAATTTTGTTTGGAAAGTGAAAAAAATTATTTTACTTGAATTTTTGAAATTATTAATTTATTATTTTAAGGGATATTCTCAATGGTAACCCCCTACAATTGCTATGCACCAACGGTAACCCCCTTTTTTTGGATTATACGAAATGACTTTAGTGATCTTTTTTTCTCCTAATGATGACACTAATGATGGTGTTTTAACATAAAATTAAACCATGGTTAACCAAAATAGCAAAATGACAAAAATGCCCTCTTTTATTTGACAGATTTTATTTATTAAAAAAAATAAAATAATAAAAAAAAATAACTACTCTTGGCAGCCCCCCAACCCCACAGCCCAACATCCACCACCTCACCTTCCACCTCTAGGCCAACCCTTACCGACGAACCCCACTAGCCCCCACCCAATCCATCACCACCGAGCCACATCACACCACAACGCAACAACCTACAGCCGCCCAACCTCCGGCAGCCCACACATCACCAATTGCTCCACCAATTCGCCACCTACAGTCGTTAATTCGCCACCAATCAACATTGGCCACTTCCCAGCTCACCTTAAAACCTTCGCCAATTCGATTTTTACCAATTAATCTCCCTTTGCAATCAACAATTCAGTCACCAACAATTGTAATTTCGATCACAATGGCAGCTACTAACATCAATTTAACGCCCTAATTGAAGACCCAGATGGTGCGATCATGGAGTGCGCTCACGAGAACGGTGACAAACCCACAAAAACGCCATTAACGGATGAATTTTGGTTTGCTGGAGTGATGAATTTTTGCCATTTAGTTTCGGTTGGGGTATCAAGCTGAGGTCGTATGGGCAGTGCTCAGGGGTGGGGAGCAGTGGCGGGGAAGGAGGGTGAGGGGCGTCTGGTGTAAGGAGAAGGAGAGAGAAAGGGGGTTGGGGAGGAGGTAGGCACCGGAAAAGGGGAGGGATATGGCAGTGGCTGGCTAGTGGAGATGGTAGTGTGGATGATGGTTGTGATTGTTAATTTTTCTAAATGTTTTTCTTTTTTTCTTTATAAAAAAAACTAATCATAGTTAATTCTAATTGACCTATTTTATGTTAAAACACCATCATTAATGTCATCTTTAGGAGAAAAAAAAAAAAGTAGTGTCATTTCGTATAATCCAAAAAATGGGGGGGTTACCGTTGGTGCGTAACAATTGTAGAGTGTTACCATTAAGAATATCCCTATTATTTTTTGGTGATATAGAAGCTTATTGTTGTTTTGTCACAGTCTATTGTTTAAATAGAGAGTAAACGAGAAGAAGAGCTTAATTGGATAAATTTCTAATATCGAATCAGACTAGACTGAACATTGAAAATTTATATAGAATTTTTTTAGCATTTGGAGAACAGACTAATTTGGTCAGATTTTAAAAAGAAAAAAAATTCAAAGAATTTTTATTTTTTTTATTTTATCAACAATACTATAAAATGAACCGATGAAATTCTAACCTAATAGTATTTTTGAGTGTTAAAACTATGACCATTACATAGTTATTACACTTTATTTGACATCAATATAATAAAAGGTAGTTGAGGTTGATAGAGTATAAAACATATTATTGGGCTTCAACCATAAGTTTAAGCTTTGTTTGAGTTGGTCCATTAACCTGATATCAAAGCCAGCATGACACAAAGGTCACGGGCTCAAATTTCATCCACCCCTCCACTTTTCAAGTGGAATATTAAGGGTATGAGGAGGGCCCATGTTGTATTCACACTTCAAGCCCAACGAGCTCTCGTGTGAGGGGGCGTGATAAAGTATAAAACATATTCCTAGGCTTCAATTCAACCATAAGCTTAAGATTTTGGTTGAATTGGTACTCTAACATGGTATTAGAACCATCGTGATTCAAAGGTCACGGGTTCGAAACTCATCAACCCCTCATTATAAATAGTGGAGTTAATAATTTATTGAAAAGTAAGTATGTAATAGGGGAAAAATTAAATTAAAAAAAAAAAGTTGTTAGTTTGACTTGAGGGTTGAGACCATAAAAGGGGAGAGAAATAATAATAAAATAAATTCCTTCCGATTTTTTTAATAAGTGCTTTATTTCTTTTGGGTACATAGGCCGATGCAATTCTTTAACTAATAATATCTTATTATCAATAAGTATAGTATATAATACTATATATTACAACAATTCAAAATTAATTGTTTATTCTAACAAGTATTCTTAAGTTTGGTACCATTAGCGGTCTTTACAATTGGTACAACATCTTCTTTATATACCGCTAAACTGCTAAAGGTGCTAATATATACGACTACTTCTTCCATTTTTTTATTTTTTTATTTTTTTTATTTTTTTTGTCTTAGTTAGAATCTTAAATTTTAGAAGAGAAAAGCTTCAACTATGAAAAATCATCAATAAATACAAAGTATATAAGAAAACATGCTTATAATTTTTGTCTCTATGCGTTATTATTAGATATCAACTTTTATATGTATTAATTTTGTAAATTCTGTAGTTGAAAGTATTGATACAATGATATTTATGTGCATTGGAAACTATATAAAAAAAAAACGGATTTTTCACCGTATACCACTGAGTTATTTCGTAATTCACCATATACCACACAAATTTTTTTAATACACCAAATACCACTGAGTTTCTGGTAAATGTCACAACATGCCATTACCGATTTACCGTTAACGGTATTAGTCATTAACGTTAATTATGTCACGTGGCAGCTTGTAATTGGTGATTATTAATGTTATTTATTTAATTAACTAACTTTAAAAAAATTAAAAAAAATAAAATAAAACACCACCAATTCAGCCACTTCCGCCACCAGCCTAGCCCCGACCTCTACCCCCGGCTGGCCGCGTGGTCCACTTCCCGGCCGGCCGGGGACCATCCCTTTCCCCTCCTCTTTCCCGTCGCGACCCACCCACCCATTTAAACCTTAAACCCGACCGAAACCCCACCCATGGAGCTAGCGTAATTGATGAATTTGATGAATGTATGGATCGATGTCGTCTTGTTGCTGCTGGTGATGATCTTCAAGTTCGTCGTCTAAATCCATGGAGGAAGAATCCATTGAAGTCGGTAACTCGAGTAATTACCCTCAGCAACAAACCTTCTTCCAAAACACGAATGCACTCCATTTGCACAAACCAAGTCTGAAAAAAACGAAAACCCCATTTAGAGATTCCAGAATTTGGGGAAACCAATTCGCAATCAAATCTGAAAAAAACGAAAACCCCATTTGCACAAACCAAGTCCCTTCAAGATTAACCCTAACCCACGACCCAATTTAGGGATTCCAGAATTTGGGGAAACCAATTCAATCACAGTAGAAAACACACAAATTGCAATCGGAACAAGCATTAAATCATAATAACGATTCTCAATTCCATCATAATTCTTCAAATGGAGATGATAAAGTAGAGAAGAGAGTTGATGATGAAGAGGAGAAAGAGAGATGCGACGGAGATAAGGGTGATTGTGGAGAATCGACGGTGGTTGTTGGGTGGCCGGAATAGGCTGGCTGGTGGTGGGCTGGTGGCAGCAGGTTTTGTTTTTTTTTTATTATTATTTTTTGGTTTTAATTTTTTTTTATTTGATAATTAATTAAATAATTTAGAAAGGAACCAATCACAAGCTGTCACGTGGCATTATTAGCCTTAATGACTAATGGTGTTAACGTCCGTTAGTCATTAAAGGCATGTTGTGACATTTACCAAAAACTTAGTGGTATTTGGTGTATTAGAAAATTTTGTTTAGTATATGGTGAATCACGAAATAACTCAGTGGTATACAGTGAAAAATCCGTAGAAAAAAAAAACAAATAAGACAAGTAAAAAGGATCGACAGAAATATATATAATATTCATTTTGCACCCACAAAAAAATGAAATAATTATTATGTTACTCCGTACATTTAATATTGTTTGACCAATTAATTAAATAGTTTCCCTTCATATTAACAATCAATTATAACCCTTTTTTTCTTTTTTAATTAGAACAATCTATTATAACTTTTACCCATTACATTTAGGTAACTTTGATAATTTGTCATTGGTAGTGTAATAAATAATATATTACTATTCAAGCTAAGCTTATTGTGGATGTATATACATACATTTTGGCTTATAGTTTTAAAAAAACATTTGAAAATCCGTTGCCGTTTTTGTACATTTCAGAACATAAATATTATATGTACTTATGATTTGGAATTGAAATCTTATGACCCTACACTTGCTCGACTCAAATCTTGACTCAATTTTGTTACAACTCAAATTAATCTAATTTCAAGTGGCATGCATATTGCTCTGATTCATTTACTATCATAACAATTATTGATTATTTATTAAACCTTAAAATGTACATTGACCACATTAAATTATTTATTCTTTCTAACACACATAAGCACAAGTCCATGTTTTTCTATCACATGTTAAATCATACAATACTCAATTTCAAATGAACATTCACTTACACCAATAATTTCACCAAATAAGCAATATAAGTCCCTCACAAATCATAAATTATCCACATGTAAATATCACTCATATAATGAAAGCATATCTTCCAAATATGCAAACATGTCTAATTAATTTTGATCAAAGCATAAAATAAAAGCTCCAAAATAACGCATTGTTGTATCCTTTGTGATTCAATTAAGAGATCCTAGTAACTCCAACATATTATTTAAAAAAAAAAAAAAAAAAACATCTTAACTGGTCTCATTACTAAATTTGCTCTTAAAACTGCCACCAAATATATAAGACTGCATGAAACATCCTAAAATTAAGAAAAATTAATTGAAAAAAATTCCACCCAAAATTCACTCTCTACTCTCTCTCTCTTCTCTCATTTCTTGATTTTTTTAAAGAGAAAAAGTTAGAGAGATGATGAAGAGGGCGAGTCACAACAACAACAAGGTTGACTCGGTGGTAATAGTGAGTCGACTCAAGTCACTCCATCTTTTAATGGTATTAGTTTTCGTCTATTTTTTCTTGATGACTACTCAATTCCCAGTTCTTTTCCGTTTCTTGGGTAATCAACACGACTTTCCGACCCGTTTTGTAGACGATTCGGCCCGAGCCGATAAACCGCCCCGAATTCTATCCCGGTTGGATTTCAGAGCTCGGGATTGTGATAATAGCTCTATTTACAAAACTGCCATGCAAGCATGGGTTGTGGGCTCAGAATTATGGGCCCAATTGAAGGGAAAGCCCAATGAGGCCCATGAGGTGTCATCCGCGGTGAGTCCCGGGAATGAAACGGCGGCGTTTAGGTGTCCGGAGAAGGTGTCAGTTGGAGAGTCAGAGTTTAATGGGATGGTGGGCCTGCCATGTGGGCTGACAATTGGGTCACATGTAACGGTGGTGGGGCGGCCGAAGAAGGCCCATAAAGAAAAGGAGCCGAAAATATCGTTGGGGAAGGATGTGATGGTGTCACAGTTTATGGTGGAGTTGAGGAAAGAGAAAGTGGTTCGAGGCGAGGAGGCGGCGAGGTTTCTGCATTTTAATCCTAGGATTAAAGGGGATTGGAGTGATAAACCGGTCATCGAGATGAATCATTGTTATCGAGGTCAGTGGGGCAATGCCGTCCGTTGTGAAGGGTGGCGTTCGCCTTTCAATGAAGAAACTGGTAATGTTGCTCATTTATTGCGTTGTTGTATGTATGTTATTCTCTATTTTCAATAGTTATTCTCTGGTCATTTATTTGTTCTTTCTATTTGGAATTTTTAATTGAAAAAACAAAATTAATAGGATGAACTGAAAAAAATATGGAGGGGGTAATTACTTTTGTAGTAATTGTTCCCCGCAAATATGTCAAAAGCTGACCCGAAACTTTTCCAAAAAAAACCAAATTTAGATTTTGATTTGTATGGATACAATAATTTAACATGACTCAAGTGAATTAGGCTTGACCCGACCTCATCGAATTGGCCCGGATATTCAAATTGACACCTTCCCATTATAATAATCTAAAGTTATATATTGATATTGACATTTTAAGTGTTACACTTTGACCGACATATAGTTTTTGGTGAATTAAAAGAAAAAAAATAATCTTATGTTATATACTGAAATTGACAATTTTTTTTTCAAAATATTGACATTTTGTTAATTACAAGTATATAGTACAGTAGTATTTATTACTCGTATGAGATTTGTGAGTGTAGAGATGATAGGTTAATTACTTAATTGCCGAGATTTGTGAATAATGTCATACTAGTGTTATTCAAATATTAATATTATGAGATTCGTAAAATGTACGAAATGCTATTTTTAACAATTTACATAGACATTGTACCATACTCAAAATAAGTAGTTGAGGTGTGAGATTTTTGTGGTGCTTTTCCTTTATTTATTACGGCTCCAACAATTAAAGAATATTAGTACGTAATTGAGTAATTTAAATAATTCTGTTAGTGATAGCTCATTACTAGTATCTATAACTTGCAGCTAGGAATGCAGCATAGCATAGATATTCAAAAGTTAAGGGTTTGATTATGATTGTGCTACTTTGTTTTGTTCTGTTTTGAAAGAAACATTGTCGCCCCGTGTCATACGGATTATATTACAACTTGTTGTTGTTGAGAGAAAGGTGCCAAGGGGTGAATTCTTATGGAAGACTAAAAACTATAAGGCATTAACGAATTAAATTATATTTTTCTAATGTATTTATTTAATATCTAGTAAAATCAATGTTAGCATTTTCCAAGAGTGGATGAAATTACAAGATAAGTGAAATGTCTTCGATCAAAAGACTTGGTGACTTCTTTGGGATTGGTGTGAGTTTAGAAAAGGAAACTTAATCTGGTAGCAATCTATAATTGTTTTAGTTTCGTTTGCACTAAATTAAGAGAGTAATAGTGAGAATTTAATTTTCTCTCCTCCTTCCTCTCTTCAAAACCCTAGCTTCCAGCTTCCATTGTTGAATTTTGAAGGGGTTTCAAGCCCCAATTCTTGTTTCTTTAAAGTTTTTTTAGGTTTTATAATAATGTTTCCTCCTTTTGGGAGAAACTTTTCTCCCTCAAAAGAAAAGGTCAAGGGTTTTTCGACCTCCTTTGAAAGACAAGGTCTATCTCCTTTTTTCGGGGGAGAAATTTCTTAGTTTTGAATTCATGATATTAGATCTAATGGATTGTCATGGAATTATTTCGTTGGTGAAAAAATTATCAAGTTTTCAAATACAAACAGATGAATTAGAAGGAAAACATTCTCACAGCTATAAAGGATCGTTAGGTTGTCTCTCTAACGTGACTGTGTTTTCCAGCTATATAAGCGGGATATGTTTCATAGTGCAAGATCTACTCGACGATCATAGTTTTTATGAAGGAAAATTTTATTTGATTATTAACGTCGAATCTCTATTGTAAATGTCGTATGACTTTTAATTAATGAAATATTTTTCCTATTCAAAAAAAAAAAAAAAGAGAGTAATAGTGAGTGGTCTTTCGGTTGACATGTTAACTTGTAATTTAATTTCAGTTGGATAAAAATTGGCTGATGTGAACAAGGTCTAAATGGTTGTTTTGTTAAACATAGGAATCATCTCTTCCTAGGAAATTGTAGATTGTAATGCCTTTCTTGGGATACACGGTGTATTTTTACTACTCCATATCATTCTGTGGATTATTTAATTATCTAATTCTTTATGCAATACAGTTCTGTTTGAGCTCTTGCTAGGGTAATGTGGGAAAGTTTTAATTTTTAATTCTGGTTGTACTAAAAAATAAATTGGGGTTACTATTTTAAGACAGTAGGTCAATTTGAATTACGGTATGAGATTTTTTCGAAGGTTTGGTACGTCTTTTGTGTAAAAGATTATTGTATAATACATGTGGTTTCTGGAGATCAAACTTTGTTTTCTAATTTCATTTGAAAGCATGGTAATTAAGATGATTTTAAAAGTACTTTTTTAATAATCATATAAACTCTATTCACTAATTTTAGCTGAAGCAAGCTAATGATAGAGACTAGAGGCAAGATACATGCCTGCATGGAAGAAATGAACTAGAAGTCTTGGTTGTTGATGTGGAAGGAAGGCTAAGAATATCAGAGTAGTATTTCAGATGGATAAAACCATTGATCGGAACTTAACAACTAAGCTTATGCTTTTTAAATCAATGATTCCATTAACAAGCTATTAGAGCAGAGTTGTCCTGTTACGGCTGTTAGGTTCCATCTATATGACAGAACTTTAATTTTAGAGTTTGTTTCTGCATGAATGAGATTTTTTATTTTTTATTTTTTTTGGATACTAATTGACTAACTGTATTAGTGTTATGTTTCCAATTTAGCCATACTTCTCGAAAACCTTAAAAATAAAATAAAATAAAATTATCCAATACATTGGATTTCTGGGATTTGTGCTTTAGCTGATAAGAGTACAAATGAGAAATGACTACTGTGATAAAGGTTCATCTTTCATGTTGTTTCAAGGTTCATCTGCTAAAATATATCGCAGCTCTTAAAATAAACAGATTAGAAGTGTTGTACGGGAGATTTTGAATTATTTTTCAATAAGCTTAAAGTTTGAAATAAGTACATGCCATACCTAGCTTTTTGTGATGCTAGCATAAACACAGAAGTTGGTCTTGTGGTTTGCTTGACTGCATAATTGAACTCCTATTGAAAATGGAGTCTTCTTATATGCATCCATAAAGATACGATAAATCAGATGTTACATTGATGATCTGTGTTAGAGTTTAGGTGGTGATTGTTTGTCCTTCATATATAAGGTTAGTCCATTATCTATTTGTTAGCAGTCCTTAGCACTTAGTCGAGTCCTAATATCCTTTAATTCTGCGTGTTTGTTCTTCACTCTGCTGATTGCTGGATATTATTTTGCAGTCGACGGACAGGTAAAATGTGAGAAATGGATTCGTGACGATGCTAACGATTTCGAAGAGTCAAAGGCTAGTTTGTGGTTGGACAGGTTGATGGGGCGGAGGAAAAAGATCGATTTGGACTGGCCTTTTCCTTTCTTAGAAGAGAAGTTCTTTGTTCTTACCATCACTGCGGGCTTGGAAGGTTATCATATTAGTGTTAATGGGCGGCATCTAACCTCATTTGCTTATCGTAATGTAAGCATTATGTTAAAATAGCTTCCAGTGCCAAAATTGATATAATTACCTCTTTTTGCATGTTTGCAAAACATTTTGTTAGAGATGCTTGATTGCTCACATAAATTAGGAGAAACCTAATTTTTATTTTTTTTCATTCATCATAGCAATGATTATTTTGGCTTCGTACGAATCTTGATTTCTTTTGGTATGAAATTGTTATTGAACTTTTTGTAAACTTACAGAAGTAAACATGTTATTTGATATCCCTATTAAAGACCTCTTCATGTTGCTTACATTTTTTTTTTTCAAAAGTTGGTTAGCATTTTCACAATTATCAATTTCCCCATTTTCTTTCCAGTGCATTATACACAATAACTTACTGAATTGTGCTTGCATTTACAGGGTTTTGACTTAGAAGATGCCATGATACTACGCGTGTATGGGGATGTTGATGTACATTCTGCATTTACTGCTTCTTTGCCCACTTCACATCCTAGTGTCGCTCCTGAGAGGCACCTTGAGATGTCTTCTGAGTGGAAGGCTCGACCACTTCCTTATGAACCCGTTGATCTTTTTATTGGTGTAATTTCAGCTGGAGACCATTTTGCTGAACGTATGGCGGTCCGTAAATCCTGGATGCAACATTACTTGGTTAAATCTTCAATTGTTGTAGCCCGCTTCTTCGTAGCATTGGTAAGAGGCAACATTGATAATCATGCTTTACATTTGATCCTTATATTCCAAGAGAGTGATCCTTGACATCAACTTATTGGCAGCATGAAAGAGATACTATAAATGTGGAGTTGAGGAAAGAGGCTGAGTTTTTTGGCGACATCATCATTGTTCCATACCTAGACAACTATGATCTTGTTGTTTTGAAAACTTTAGCTATTTGTGAATACGGGGTAAGAACATGGATTTTTTTTGTTAATCATTTGTTTGAAAGTAGCCAAATATATTGACATTTACTTTTTTTTTTTTTTTTTCGTTACAGGTAAATTTCTTGTCAACAAAATATATCATGAAATGTGATGATGATACCTTTGTAAGGGTAGATGCTGTGATTGAGGAAGCTCGACGAGTTAACAGTGGGAAGAGCCTTTATGTTGGAAAAATTAATTACTATCACACCCCACTACGTACTGGTAAATGGGCTGTTACATATGAGGTATAAGGAACTATCAAAGGTCATGAATCATGACTGGCTATTTGGTGTTTTCTTATGTTTGCATAATGGCTGTATGAAGCTTGTTGTGTGTTCATTTCAAAAAATTATTCAATCATGTTTGCTAAAGAGTGGCCAGTCATCTGAATTAACCTGAGCCCACCCGACCTAGCCAAGTTCGGGGTCTTGCTTATCTAGTCTGCCCCTGGTTCCCCACTTGGACCAGCCTACTAGCCACCTCTACATTTGATGTAGCTAGCATTCTATTATTTTAGGTTTGTCTAGTTGGTTATTTTTTAGTGAGAGCTGAATGTTGCATAGACCAGTTTTTTCACTGCTGTATTTCTGATATTTTTTTTCTTGTGTAATGCTTCAGGAATGGCCTGACGAAATTTATCCACCATATGCTGATGGACCTGGATATATTGTGTCTTCAGACATTGCCCGTTTTATTGTGACAGAGTATCAAAAGGACAGATTGAGAGTATGTCAAATATCCTATCCATGTCTTTAACCAATATTACTGTTTTTCCAATATAGTCAGTAATTTTGCATGTTGCATTGTAGTTGTTCAAGATGGAAGATGTGAGCATGGGGATGTGGGTTGAGAAGTTCAACAGTTCGAGCCCTGTGGAGTATCTGCACAATTCGCATTTCCACCAGTCCGGTTGCTTCGATGATTATTATACTGCACACTATCAGTCTCCTAAACAACTGATCTGTTTGTGGGAAAGACTACAAAGTGAAGGAAAGCCCATATGCTGCAACCTGTAACATTTATACTTGACCAGTTTGACAATATTTATCCTCTCTTATGATTCGGAGGATTTAGCTATTAGGAATAGTGACACAGAGAGGTTTTGACTTGTAGATAGCTTATACTTGTGTAATCATCATGAACATGATGAAAAGTGGCCTGGTGGGTAGCACTGAGATTACAATGTATACAAGGAATTTTCTTTTTTATTGGGAACTTCATATAAATTACTCTAAATTTGAGAAATTATACATGATTTTCTTCATACAAATTGATCATGGTGAATGGATATACAAAAAGTTTACACATTCACAAGTTCAGTTTTTTGCCTACAGTAAGAGTATACAGCTTTGCTATCATATTATTTGCTGATGATATTGGTAAAGATGGCTACACGTACATTTTTAGCATATTTGGCGGTGTGAATTGGAGACTGGAGCTCTCATCTTGCCAGTTCAAGGTACGAATATTTTACTATGTATCCTGTTTTGAAGCTGGTAATTCATGTGCATTCAATCAGAAGTTTTAGCAATAAATATTTTTTTGTAACAACATAAGACTAAACTCAGTCTATGAGATGATACTTTAGACTCGGCTTTTTCTTCCTCGAATTCTGCATGTTTTTGGGTAGTTATGCCCTACACCCTCATAAAAATGTGCTTGATAGAGCATTTTATATATAGTCAATAGAATAGAACTCTTATGTTAATCATTCTGCTGTTTCTGAATCATTAGTTTAGGAAAAGCTTTATTTTACCTCTGTCTAGGAGCTCCGATCCCGTTGAAGTGGGAGATAAAAAGCAAAGATTCTTCTGTGAGAAAAGTGATTCTTTCTAATCTAGTGGCTTTAATGAAGGAATCATATTCTTGATGAAATAATTTTCTAGAAAATCCACTTAACCTCCAAACTTGTACTTTCCAACTGTGTTTTTCTCCATGTATTGTAAGCTGATTATTGTGATCATTATCCCTGTCTATCCTCTAATAATTCCCTCTTTTCTTAACTTTTTTTTTTTTCATGTCCAATCTGTCTGATTAATATATGCTAGTGCTGGCACCTTTTGACGCCTGTTGCTTATGGACTAATGGACGTGTCAAACGGACTGGTTAAATTGAGTCCTGATCTAGCTTTTTTTTAATTGACTCAGGTTGGTTTTATATCAGTGGTTTAGTCAAGTCCATATCGATTAACTTTTATCAAGGTCTGTGGGATTCAGATCAGAAATTTCCGGGCAGGTTCGTATCAAGGCTTCGGAAGGGCTCATTTTTCTTTTCTTTTTTTTTTACCAATACATCTGTTTAAATAACGTAATATGCTAGTTCTTGCACATTGTCAGTCCGTCCATCAAATCATAAATGAGACATGTCCTGCATCCCATCTGGTGTCAGTAGATTAAAATCTCAATATTGAATGATAGTTAATGAATAAACATAGAGGAGTCAACAGTTAGTGACATATATACACGAGAACAACACATTGGAGTAAACTGTTATATTTATTTGCATTTCATATATTACAATTACCTGTCTCAATAAAACAAAAACAAACAAAAACATTGCAATACATGCAAAATCTAATGAACTTAAAAAGTACAAAAAGAAGGGGAAGAGAATGCTGGTGTTTGAACTGGTTCTTTTGTCTGTCATTTTGCTGTGATCTTGTATTTTACAGCGAGATCGATAGCAGGAGTAGCACAATAGAATAGAAGATCAAGGTTCCTGTCAAAACAGCCAAAGATGAAGATTTAGAAAAAGTCAAATCCTAATTATTATACATAAACTATATAATTAGACAAAAAGAACGTAACTAAAAAGAATAGGAAGCATGTGCTTTACTTGCATCAAGAGAAATCTTTATGAAAAAGATTTACCTTTGATCCAAGGAGCATTCCTTAGCCCAGAATTCCAAGAATTTTGAAAGTAACAATCAGTAGAAGTGTTCACTCCACTTGGACAATTACACACAAAAGTGTTGTAAATTCCGGTGTATGCACAAGCCCCGTTACTCTTCTCACAGTTGCTACAATAAACCGGATAGTCGTTCTTCACGTTGAACTTGTACTTCAATGCTACCCCGTACTTCCATACTTCTGGATTCGCTTCCTGATCTTCAAAGCTGTAAATCGCAGTGTATGCCTTGCATTGTGCCTTCTGTAGGTCCATCTCGAAGGCAGGCCCCAGATCCATAGGCGCGTACACGCAGCATGTATTGATCGGGACATTTAGCTGACTGATAGGCTGGCAGGAGTAGAGCGAGCTGCAGAGAGGGGTACCTATTTGAAGTGATAAATTGAGAGGTAAATTTTTTGTACAAGTATTATAATGAACAGCTTGAACACTTGAACTGATATTTTACTGTACCTGCATTATCACACTGAGGGACGTTAGAAGTGTTTCCGTTAATAGCGCCTTTATATATAGGGGACGAATCCAGCGAGCAGTCCAGCAGTGCGAAGACACTGCTGTCGTCAAAAGAGAATGGAGCATCCCAGTCAAGGCTGAACCCTTTGCTAGGCTGAGTACAGAAACAGGTAGACATAGTAGGGTCAGAGACATAGAGTACCTGTTTGTTATAGTCGATGTTGGTGACTGGGTAGGAACCGGTGTGGGTGATGAAGGAAAGTTGCCTTTGATTGCATGTAACATGCTTGGTGAACCTAGGGTCACCACACCCCGGACCACCGCCGAAGGGGTAACGAAGGGGGATGTCACCACAGAAGCGTTGACATACTTGGGAATGGACGAGGGGGACGAGGAAGAGGAGGAATAGAGGGAGGTGGTTTAGGTTCATGGTTAAGAAATGACGGTGTGAATGGGAAATGTTGGTTGATTAGTGTGAGGGTGGTTTTTGTATTGGAAAGAGTGAGGCAAGTGAAGTAAGGAAAGACCAATGTGTGGGCGTTGTTTTTTTTTTTAATGGGAGGGAATTGGATTCACCTCTGAGAGTACTAGTATGTGGTAGATGCCGTCTTTCTCTCTGTTTCCATCCTTCTAACTGCCTTTTTCCACTTCTTTACTAGCCGACTAAAATGAGGAATTTATTGCTTTTAGTGTTTCACAAGTCACCATTATCCTATTGTGTCATTTTTTATTTTTCGTACTTAGTATATTTTTACAAGTGCTTGAAGGTTATGACAATTGACTGTTTTGAGTCATGTGATGCCTCGATCCCGAGAAGATGTGTGAAAGGCATGACCAAATCACACTTCTCTGAAATCTGAATGGATTTAGATGGAATACTGGTAGTCAAAGAAAGATGGCAAATTAGATTGAAGCCTCGCACAAGTCAATCCGGTATGGACTAGCAAATAAGGCTTCATGAAATTTGAGTGGAGGGTAAAAATAAAAAAAATAACTCAACTCTCAACTCCCAAAGTGCCCCTAATAAAATTGATATCACAAGTTCAAGGTTGTATGATACAATCCTTATCATTAGACGAATTATTACTCTTAGGATTATCAAAATAAAAAAATTGCACTTCGGGGGATAGCTAAGATGGATAATTTTCATTAAGCATCAAACACAAGTATACAAGATACAACAATATCGGTCATTGTAAATTTTGAGTTAGGGGAAGTAAAATAATTATTCCTTGAAATTCCTCAAACAAAGTTAAGGGGTATTAAAGTAAAATGCATACTAGTGGCAATAGCTCTTGGTCCACGGCCATGGTCCATTACTATTGCTTTACTGCTGAATAAGTTACTTTGGAGATTTGGATTTTGGGCGCAATGTAGTTACTTCCATATGTACGATTTTTGGAAAGTTATTTTCTGCTATTGATCATATATATATATATTCTACTGCTTTCGGTTAATCCAAATATTCAAAAAGAAATTCCAATCCTAAAAATTAAATTTCATTAGATAAGAATTAGTCACATACAAACTACTCAGTATTAGACAACTACTTGCTATCGTATACCTTAATGTTGATTATTGAATTATTGATCTATCTCTCCTTGTGAAGAAGGGAAATTCCATTTTGAACATATAATAGACGATGATATATGATAATGAATCTGTATGTAATAAAGTCTCGTGTTAATGTTCGTGTATTCATTTCATTTCAACTATTAATCATTTTATTGATGATTCTATGAATTCACCCTCTAATTTCAATTCGACACATTCAAGTGGAAAAATGTATGTTTATTTGGAAATGTAATTCATTATTAAGACCATTGTCACTAGTTATTAGCTATCATCTACCAAACGAGATAGTGCCTGGGATGAATACTAAAGTTGTGTGCTTTTACGAGAGACTGTTATATACACCCTGGTGTACGATATATCTATGAGCATTTTGTTCTCATTTTGATTATTATTTTTTATTTAATCATCAAATAAATAGCAAAAACTAATTTTGAGTTAATTAGGTGCACGACACACTCGAATATGTATAAAATATTTCGTGGTTTTACCATCACATCAGAGAATAATGCAATATAGAGAGCATGTATTGTCGAAAATTTGGGTTCTAGATCTGAAGAATATCGTTGAAGGTCGACAAACTATTTACGTAATCATTATTAGTTTGTACTACTAATATAACATGTGATTACTAGTTTACTACCTGTATTCAACATAAATTAACAACTGTTTCTTGGATTTTTCTTTTATTGTGATTTGCTTTATCTGGATTTAATTGACCAATAACTTTCCTATTAAATAATTTCAGTGCTACTGTATTAATTTCAATTCACAACATTAATTATATAATGTCTTTTTTCTAAAAATTCCTTATGTTTCGATTTTTTAATGAGATGAATACTGTTGACAAAAAGAACTTTTAGAGATGCTAGGGTAGCTAACGCGCATGATGCGCGCGTCATAGCTAATTATATCCACAAGCTCTTTCGGTTTAGCCTTAAATGACAAATTTAATTGTTGGCATCAGTATTGAGAGAAAAGATGTAAACAAAGATTTTTAAGAGTGTAAATATCAACGCACTATTTTTAAGAGTTAAAAAAACAACTAACATTAATAAAGGTAAATAAGTAATAAACATTTTAGAGGGTAATATTATCCAAACACCAATCATTAATAAACTTGTACATATTAATGAGGATATATATGTAATTATACATTTTAAAGGATATATTTGGCAAAACACTATTAATAAGAGTAATCTTATACTTTATAAGGTAGAAAATTGGAGTAATATCTTTGGATATTAAGATGATGTTATTAATAAAATTAGACTAAAAATAGACTAAGGGCTTGTTCAGCTTAATTTCAGTTTAGTTTAGTTCAGTTCCTAATTTCCTTCTCTCATAAATAATTCATTTCAGTTCAGTTCAGTTTAGTTGTTTTTAGTAAATTGGAACAGACCCTAAGATAGTTATCTGTAAATGAGCTTTGCCTTTTTAGGTATTTTATTTATAGGATGATGAACAAAAGTACTGAGGTTGAAGATTTACCTACAAAAACATCTAACTAATCTAAGGGTATGAGCCCTTCACTTTGAAAGAGAAAGAAACTTCCTAGAAAGAATAAGAATAAGAATCCACTTTTTAATCATCTGGTAATCTATAATATTCAATTGTTGTCCAACTCTGTGTCCCCAGTTTGTCAATTGTGTAACACATCCATCATTAATAATAACTTAATTTATACAAGTATATTTTAAGGAAATTTTAATGCTGCATTTTTTATGTACTATAAACAATTCAATAATATATCATATATAACATTATAACATTTAAAAAGGGATCTAGATTAACAAATCTATCAAAGAAATCTTTTTTTTTTTTTAAAAGAAAGGGGAAATATATTAATTAATCAATCTTCCGCCTTCAACAGTTCACAAATTGTTCGACAAACAACTTCAACAAAACAGAAACATTACAACGAAATCATTCATCAATACTACAAGACTATAATCATTGATGAGTAAATACGGAGTATTATATTGTGAAAGTTATACTCCGTATCATTAATGCTATAGTTAATTTATACTAATAATTCAAGATTATCAAAGATAATTGAATTTTTTGTTGTTCACCAAAAGAAAATTAACAAACACGTGAGTGCCAAAGAAAATTTCCCTTAATTTTTTTTTTTGATGTTATATACTTCTATGAAGTACTTTGTATTAATTATGTTTTATTTGTTCCATTCTATTCACAATGTACTTGCCATGTTGAAAAAATGGACACATCTATTTAAACCATGGTAATCAATGGAAAAAAAAGTGCAAGTATTAACATAACGGCCATAATTAATCATATACGGAATATAATTATGAAATGGGTCCTAGTTTACTACCTCTGTTTCGCTTTACTCGTAACAATTTAGTATTTTACAGACTTTTAGGCAAAAAATTGGAGGGGGGTTTAATTAAATGGAAGAGTATGTATTAGGAGAGATAAAAAGAAGGGAAAGTTAGTGGACCCTTTTTCACTTTATTGAAGACATGTGACCTCATATTTTAGTGGGATTTTTCCCTCCCAAAAAGTTACTGACTTTTTAAAACGGGATAAACTTTTTTGATCCACTTTCTTTCCCTCCTATTTTTTTGAAAATTCAAACGTTTTGCCACTTAACCCCCATAATTAGTTTTCATAAAATTCAAATCAAAAGCCCCTTATAAATAGGGGTCACCCCATTCAATACACCCCATTTTCTGCTAGTGTTTCAATGGGGAATGGGGTTAGAGGAGGGGGAGGGGACCATTAGTACTGTTTACAAAAACCAACAATATTTAGCTTACAAAAGTTGGCAACTATCTAGAAATTACATTAAACCTACAATTAGTAATTCCTCACCCTAATTCCTAAGTGTCTTGTTAGTACCAGCAGCATCACTATATACAGAAATTAGGCTCCATTGAAGACTGCAAAAAATTACCTTCAACCGCCACTTCATAACCTTTCATCAAATTTGCAAAAATTCAAAGGGACTTATGGAAGATTTCTTTGAAGAAGAATTTTATAGATTAGACCAACTGTATGATGAAGAACAAGCCATGGAAGCATTTCAGTCAAACATGGATGATGATTCCATGGAAGATGCATACATGGAACATCAGGAAGTAGATAATGATGATGCAGACATGGTACATCAAGAAGCCAACAATGAACATGCAGAACAAGGCTATGTAGCAGATAATGATGATGTAGATAATGGTGGAAGGCAAAGCAGAGAAATGACAGTGGAAGAAAAAAAGCAAATTGTTGATGAAATCCTGCTGAACATGGAAGGGGACTCATTATCAAGAGGATTTTTATTCACCTTGGCCAGAAAATATTCAGTTCACAGGTCAACAACAACCAGATGGTTCCAAGTAATTAAAAACCACATTATAGAGGAGAATGTTAATGATGTTAGGAGCAAAAAAATTAGGCAAAACTGGTCCCAAACCTATGTGGCTAGTATCTGTCCCCTTGTATAAGAGGACCACTAAAAGGAGCTATGCTGCAACCCTTAACATTTCATACTCAGCAATTCATAGGTTAAGGAAGAAGGGAAGACTTATGACACACACAAGTACCAATCACCCTACACTCACTGCTAACTACAAAATAGCAAGACTCAAGTGGGTTCTAAGTCATGTGAACCAAGTTCCAACAGTAGAGGACCCTACCTTTAGGGACATGCAACAGGTAATTCACTTAGATGAGAAGTGGTTTTATCAGAACCTAGAAACCAGGACATCATATCTTCTCCCAAAAGAGGGAGACCCATACAGAGTATAATAGTCAAAGAGGTTCAAACTTAAGGCTATGTTCATAGGGATGATAGGGAAGCCACTGTATGATGAACATAAGAATTTGGTGCATGATGAGAAGTATGGTATGTTTCCTTTTGTGAAGTATGAAAGAGCCAAAAAGAAAAGCAAGAACAGAGATAAGGGTACGTTAGAAACTAAGGCAGTGCAGAGTGTGAACAAGAAGTAATAAGGGACGTGTTACTCAACCATATCATTCCATCAATACATGCACAGTGGCCAGCTCAACTGCTTAAGGATATAATCATACAGTGGGATAACGCAAGGCCACATCAAGTTCCAAAAGATGAAGAATTTCAAGCAGCAACACATGAAAATGGATTCAACATTCAGTTTGTTTTTCAACCTGCTCAATCATCAGTTTTGAATGTTTTGGATCTAGGTCTTTTCTGGGTAATTCAATCCCTTCAATACTAATCATTTCCAAAAAAAAATATAGATGAGCTTATTGAGAAAGTGCAAGAGGCATTTGAGGAATTTGATCCTATTTTGAACAAGTACACATGGATCACTCTACAATCTTGCATGCTTGAAATACTAGCAAAAGAAGGTGGTAATAACTTCACACCACCACACATGAAGTAGAGAAGCATGGACAGGCAAGGAATTCTTCCAGACTTGCTGGAAGTGGACAAGGAACTCGTCACAAATGT